GGATGGATGGATGGATGGATGGATGGATGGATGGATGGATGGATGGATGGATGGATGGATGGATGGATGGATGGATGGATGGATGAACTCTTCCCTTTGAGCCTTTTCTCTGTCTCATTCAGTTTAGCAGGTTTGGTTTGTTTTGTACAGAAAGTCTCTTAAGCAGAGTAGAGTAAATGTGATTTTCATAAAGATATGTTTGTTATGCATGATTTTCCTGCTTTCTGCAGCCCTGTGAAGAAACCAATAAGGATTTCTTTTGCATGGATGGTGATATTAACTAATGCAAATCCTAACTACCTCTTTAAGGCCCCAAACTTTAAATTGGACTTCTGACAGCAGGAGACGCCATGAAACGTCATGAAAAATCTGCTAGAACTCTTGCTTACCGGCCTCGATTTCCTCAGGGGTTTTCTTTTTCTTTGGTTTTGTCTTCTCCTCTACTGCAACTTCAGCTGGCTCGTCTGACAGTTCCCTTTCCTCTTCTGTCCTTGGTCCGATCAGTCCTTGGGGTTCTCTCACCTGAGCCTGGACTCTTGAAAGCTGCTGCTTCTCCACAGGTTCTTCAGTGCTGACCAGAACCCAACAAAGGCTCAGTCCGACCCAGACGACTAGCACTTCAGCCCTCATTTTTCTGAAATAAAGCACGAACAGGGAAAGCTCAAAATAGATTCAAAGACAGCTCAACATCTGACCTGCAGATGCAAGCGAGGCGTCTGGAGATGAGGACATGAAAAGGAAGAGTCTACAGAGTTTCCTCCTCTCTGATGACAGCCTGTGCAGCAGGAGAAGGAAAACACTGTGAGCTGAAGCTTTCAAAGCAGACGGCTGGCTGTGCACCAGTTTAACACACACACCTCCTTCGCTCCCTCTTTCTTATCCGTCATAGCCCTTCACCCCCTCTTTCCCCTTACCCGTCTCTGAGGAGAAGAGAGGGGAGGAGCATCAGTGATCTGACATTCCTGTGAGGAAGAAGGCAGAATGGGGGGAAAGGAAGAACTGAAGGAAAGTGACTGTTTAGCTGTAAACATAAAAGATGGACTCATCTCTGATTTTTATTTGATGCTTAAGGCTAATTAAGCAGTTTCTAGATTCACAAGGGAAATAAATATTTTGTTATTTCCTTTGTTAAAAACCTAATGACTCAAAGTGAAACTTTGATTATGAAAAACTCCTTCAGGTTGATGATTTTGTTGATAGGGCTGCTAGTTCTCCGTGTACAATGCAGCCCCTTTTGAAAAAGAAAAGCTTTTAAAAATAATAAGCTGACTCTCTGGTTTAATGCAGAGCAGCACACTGTGAAGCAGATGACCCTTTGTAGAGCAAGAGCAACATATTTCTCCCCTTTAATAGAGTAGAATAAGAATAATCCTAGATACCTTTTTAATACAGTCACCAAACTTACCCAGAGCCATAGCTCTTTGGAACCGTCCATCCCACCTGCTTTTAGCAGGAAGGATTTTATGGAGTTCTTTATAAATAAGACTAATTCTATTTTAAAAAAAGATCACTAGCACTTCACTAACTATGATTGGTTTATCTTTAGAATGTGAGGCAGCATCTGAGGTAGCCATAGAAACTGAATTGGGTTTAAACTGCTTTGATCCAATTGAACTTTCAGAGTTAGCAAAACTATTGTCTTGATCTAAGCCTTTAACTTGTATATTAGATCTAGTACCATCCAGGTTATTAAAGGAAGTATTCCCTTTGATCTCCTCCATTTTAGATGTGATTAATCTCTCCATGTTACATGGATATGTACCTCAGGGTTTTTCTCCCATATAAAGCCTTAAATGGCCAAGCTCCATCTTATATCAGATATGATTGTTCCTTATGTTCCTAACAGAGCACTTCACTCTCAATCTGCAGGTTTACTAGTGGTTCCTATAATTTATAAAACTAGAATGGGAGGCAGATCTTTTAGTTATCAGGCTCCTCTCCTGTGGAACCAACTACCAGTTTTAATCCGTGAGGCAGACACCTTGTCTAATTTTAAGACTAGACTTAAAACTTTCCTTTTTGATAAAGCTTATAGTTAGAGTGGCTCAGGTTATCCTGAGCGTCTCTATAGTTATGCTGCTATAGGCTTAGTCTGCTGGAGGACATAGGGACCCCGTTTTATCATCCTGCTTTATTCTATCTGTATTCTAAAATTCTGCAGTGTTTGTTAGTTAAATCTCTAACACTTGTCTGCCTGTCTGTGTGTTTCCTGGACGGGGCCGCCTTTTGCAGCTGCTTTTTGTATCTCTGCTTCTTTCTGCTTGAACCCCAGTCAACCTCGACAGATGGCCACACTGAGCCTGGTACTGCTGGAAGTTTCTTTCTGTTAGAAGGGAAATTTCCTCTCAACTGTCGCTACAAGCATGCCTGGTGTGAGGGATTGCCTTCAAGTCAATGAGTCAATGCAATCAGCTAGCTTTCCTTTGAACCAATCTGACTGTATGATCTGGTTGAATTGTCTCTGTAATGTGCCTCAAGATGATATGTGTTGGTAATAGGCGCTCTATAAATAAACTGAATTTTACTGTACACCTCCAGGACTTGACGGTGAGCTGAAAATATTGCAGCTGACCCGCTCTTACCCTCAGCACAAATAGTTTCAGACTCTCCCCTCTGAAAGGAAGGTATGGTCCATCATGACCAAATTCTCTTGGGAAAAAAAGCAGCTTCTTCCAGTCATTATCAACCCTCGGGTCTCCCAGTGACACTTTTACCTTGAAAATAATTGTATGCATATTTTCTATATATGCTATGTTGTGCTTCCTCTCCAAAACATTGCTCTCTTATTCCCTGGTGTCTTAATTTTCTTTAATAACTTGCATTTATTTATTTTACTTTGTCTATTTTCAATTATATTTATGTCATCTCTATGCTTGTAGGTGTGTTTTATCATCTAAGCAAAATTCTCCTTTGTGTAAAACACTACTTAATAAAGCCTTTCCTGACTCTTTTTCTTCTGATACTTTATTAGAGAGGCTCCTCCATACTCACTGTAATACAGACCTCTACAGAATATCTTTCCCATCCACATTCATCAACATCTATAGTGAATAATTGCGTCCACGCCTGAATATAAGTTGTTAGAACATTTATTTTACCTAATTATTAAGAGAGTAATACTGTTTTGAAGAAGCAGAACTCTGAGAGATGCCTTTTTGTGATATAAAAACTTCACATCTGTATCTTTTGAAGTTTGGCAAAAACAAAGCAATTTCTTTAATTTAGGGATCTCAGCAAACAGATGTTTAAAAAATGTTATTAGTCATCAGAATCATGAAACAGGAACCTAAAAAAAAAACACATATCCATTCTTGTCAGTCCTTGACAAATATCGCAGCTGGAGAACAGAGGTCTTCTTCATCTGTTTCAGTTTTTCCTCCATATGTGAAGATTTACTCATGGTGAAGGTGGAGTTAGAATGGATTCCCAGAGTCTCTTCAGGAGGACTACATATGTCAAAGTTCATAACAGGGGTTCAGAAAAAAGATTAATATTAGGCAGAAGGTTGAGCTTCTAACCATGAAAGTTTAAGCTGTTAGACCAGATGGTTTAAGAACTACTTTTCCACCTAAAACATTTGAAGCTAATTCCATGCTTTCTGATAGTTCTATAAATGGTAAAGAGAACTGAGCCGCCTTTACAGCTGCTTTTTGTATCTCTGCTTCTGTCTCCTTGAACCCCAGTCGGCCTCAGCAGATGGCCGCTCACACTGAGCCTGGTTCTGCTGGAGGTTTCTTCCTGTTAAAAGGGAGTTTTTCCTCTCCACTGTCGCTACAAGTATTTATAGTTTGAGTGAATGAGTCGATGCAATCAGCTAGATTTCCTTAGACAGAAAACTGTGAATCAATTTTGCTGGATGATCTGGTGAACTGTAAAGTGTCTTGAGATGACATGTGTTGTGAATTGGCGCTATAGAAATAAACTGAAATGAACTGAACTGGTATTAGCACTGATTCAGCGGCGGTTCTAGACCACATTGTTTTCGGGAAGCCAGGATGGAGTCGTTTTTTTTTTGGTTTTTTTTCTTATGGGGCACAGATAAATCATGAAACAAAAAAAAAAAAAAACAAAAGAACTCTGCGCTGACTGAAGTAGGATGGAATTTAGTTGAATTAAAATCGGAAATTTGTATTTTTGTCTTCAAAATGTTTACTTTACTTAAAATTAAAAAAATTCTTTACCATGGATAAAAAGCAAGTGAATTAAGTAGTTGCTAGAAAAAAAATACCTACATCAAAACAAAATGTGAAAGTGTTACATGAACACATGATGTCACTAACATTTGTTAGTAAATGTGACCTTACAGTCTCATTAGAATCTGCCATTTTTTTGTGTTTTTTTCAAACACCGAATTTTTTTAGCACCAAATTCTAAGCACTGACTTTTTTTTACACATTGAATTCCTCACACTGATTTTTTGTTATAACAACCAGACTGATTAGATGGCTGCCTATTAGTAGCTACCTGACATTTTGTGATCATATCTATTTAACAAGAAAAACTCCTCATTCAGCTTCATTCAGCCGGGAGCAAAGCTATGTCCAATTGTCCAGAACATCTAATAGGAAGTCGCTATGATGAGCTCTAAAACCAGACTGAAACTTTTCAAAAACTTCATTATGGTGTAAGTGGTCACACAATTTAGCAACTATTTTCTCAATAATTTTAGATAAGAAAGGAAGATTTGATATAGGTCTATAATTTATTAAGTCATTTTGATTAAAAAAATGTTTCTCGTGGAAAGTTTTAACTAAGAATTTAAACCGTGTTTGCAAATTGTATTTCATTTTTGTTAAATTGTCCAACATCATTCATTTTTAGTTTCGCACCTATCTCGATACCAATAGAAGGCCAGCAACAGGCAAAAACATGAAGTTCTAAAACATCTATCATTCCCTCTA